TCACAGTTGAGGCTGTCTTAATGGGTACGGAACTTGGCTTATCAGTCTCTGCTCAGCAATTCTGCGTTGTTGTGAATCTTGAAATCCACCTTGGAGGACGCTTACCCCAAGATTGGAAGCGGAATGTCGTTGACCACTGAAGTGTTTCCCAGTTGAGAGGGGCATTCCTGTCTGGTGATTGTTGCGCAGCTGTTGTAGCATCTGCGTGGTCTTGCTAATATACCGTGCTGAGGGAATCTTTGCCTGCAGCGTATAAGATAGACAACTTTGGCCTTGAGAGATGCAGGGTTACAGGGATAGGGTGGGGGGGTGGGTAGGTGGGATGGTAGGTGGTGGGGGAGGGTCGGTATGGACCTGATGGGCCAAATAGCCTGCTTTCTGAGATTCTAAACAAAAAGTGATGCGGATGTGTAAAAGAGGTAGTACATTAATCATAACACAGTCAGTGAGGTGGGAGGACCAATCCCCACCACTATCTACCTTCCCCATCTCGAACCCCCCTCTCTCTATATATTTCAGAGCCCCCTTCTCCTCCCCCATTTCTGAAGAAGGGTCCCGACCTGAAACGTCAGCTTTCCTGCTCCTCTGATGCTGCCTGGCCTGCTGTGCTCCTCCAGCTCCACACTGCATTATCTCAGACTCCAGCATCAGCAGTTCTTACTATCTCTGAGTACATTAATCATAGATGACTTTAATCTTCATGTTGATTGTGAAAGTCAAATTGGCAGAAGTAGCTATGAGGAAGAATTCATGGAGTGTATTCAGAACTGTTTCTGAGAACAATATGTTGTGGATTCAACCAGGGATCAGGTTGCTTTGGATCTGGTAATGTGTAATGAGACAGGTTGAATAAATGATCTCAGGGTAAAAGATCCCCTCTGAAACAGTGACCATAACATGATAGAATTCTGCATTCAGTTTGAGAGGAATAGACTTGGGTCAGAAACTACTTGAATAAAAATAATTACAAAGGAGAATGAGGGCAGAGCTGATTGGACTGGACTGGGAAAGGAGTTTTGCAGAATAAAAACAGTTGAGGAACAATGACAGAAGCTTAAGAAATTAGTTCATAACTCACAATAAACTAATAAGTTATTATGTATTGTGTGGAAATCGAGTGGAGAATAATTGCTGGTGAGAAACATGTAGAAATTGGCAGCACACACACACACCCTGCCACCACCAGCACCTCTGGGCAGGAGACTGTAAATACTGCGTGACAGGTTTACATAGCAAGTCACCATTATCAGTGCATAGACAGGAATTAATAACAGTAACATTTACAGGACGTGTAAAGTTTTCACATATTTTGGATTATATGGAAAATGTATTGCACAGATGGTGTTATAACATTTTAGTCCTAATTATATGATTTTCCTTCATTGCTGCTTTAAACCCCATCTATTGCTTGACCACCTTGAGTCTAGAGTTGTAAAACACCAGCCTTACACTTTCAACTCTCCGTAAATGTGAGGCCATCCATAACTCTATTGTCAATGTCCAAACTTGCACCTGGTCCACTTTGCCCATTACCACTGTGCTCGCTGACCTTCACTGAATCTCAGTTAAGGAAGAGCTAAGAAATGCTCTCAAAACCTTTCCATCCTTCAGTAAACTCATGGCTAATCTGATTATGGCCTTACCTCCGCTTTCCTGCCTGTTTCCGTAACCCTGGACTCCCCTGTTGATCAAATATGTGTTCACCTCAGAGAATTCCAAACACTAACGACCCTCTGAGAGAAGTTTCTTGTCATCTTCAGGAGAAACCCTCAACTTTAAACTATGTCCCCTTGTTCTAAATTCTCCCATTTGAAGAAACATTCTCTACCCTGTCAAGCCCCCTTTGTATTTGTTTCAATAAGATCACCTCTCATTCTTCTAATCTCCAGTGAGAACAGGCCAATGTTTGCCTGTAAGCTGCATGGCCACCTGCACAGCCACACTGACAGTCTACACGCGCAAGTCGTCCTGTCGATGTATTCACTTCTGTTACCTCCGGCTGCTGCCATGCAGGGACATCAGAGGTCCACGCAGTGAGTGGAGAGATTAGAGGGAAATTAGTTATATTCTGAAATTGCTCAACCTTTCCTCCGGAGACAAACTCCTTAATCCCAGGGACCATCCTAGTGAACCTTACCTGAACTGCCTCCAGTGCAAGTCTGTCCTTCCTTCACAAAGAATGAAGCTCATGCACTGCTCTTGGTGGGATCTTATCCAGTGCCCAGTGCGATTACAGCAAGACATCTTTACTTATATAACCCCCACCCCCTTTCAATAAAGGCCAACACTTTATTAGCCTTCCTAATTCCTTGTAGATCCAATGATTGTTATATAGACACAATGTCTGTAAGAGTGGACCTGTTGGCTTGGACCTTGAGCCGTTTGGAGACCGATCAGTGTTACTGTGCAGCCTAGTGAAGTAGAGTGGGCTGAGAGCTCCTGTGGAAAGCCCAGTGTTGGATGGGTTAGTTGCACCAATGCATTTGCGGGACCAATGATTCAGGTCTGTGTCAATGTGGATTGAGGAAAGGCTGGACTGAGTAGCTGCTCTGGTATGATGCTGCGATTATTCCAGTTCTCCTCAAATTTGATCTGTACTGAGTCTGTATGCGAAGCTCACTTTGTGAACTTTCTTTATTTTTTCACAGATGCTCAGGAAGGCCCATGAAACAGGTATATGTTTTTTTCTAAAACCATATGAAATTATTTTTATTAAGATGTATATGTAATGTTTTCCGGCAACCGAATCTAAAATATAAAACTTCCCTCCGTGAAGATAAAGTCAGCAGGGTGAGTGGAGTTAAGGAAGTTATTCTTGCAAAGAACCAACACAGGCAGATTAGATGCAACATCTTTTTGTGAAGTAGCTTCATCATGGCATAAAAAGGCAGTTTCTTCAATGTTAGCTGGCAGCCCGGGTTCGGTGCCAACTCAGATGGTCACAGTCAGGGCAGGAATTGCAGCCATGCCCCTGGCACAAGTGCCCTTGGAGCCCTGGGGCAAGGTAGATCAGCCACGGTTCCCCCAAGTCATGACCCTGATGACTCCCACTGGTAAACCTTTTGCTTTGGACTTCAGTTGTGGGGGAGGAGAGAGGTTGGTTTGTACTCGGCTACAATGTCATGACGGTCCAACAGCCCACTCCCAGTGTCTGATTCACTCGAAGGATGGCCACTGTCTGGAAGCACTGCATCTGCAGGAGCTGATGCCTTCACTGGCAGAAGATGGAACCAAACAGGAGTTGAACTGTTGGGTGTAATATATGTTACACCATCTCCCCTTTTCCCATAGGATTCCTATCCTGGTTTCGAAATGGTTTGCTGGCAACCGGAGTCGGAGTGATATCGTATATGCAGAGTGACACAGGAAGAGAGGCGGCTTATGGTAAGTGACTTCACTGTGTTTGTACAACTGTGCTACCACCCACATTTTTTTTCTTTATCCTTTCATGGGATGTGGGCATCGATGGTAAGGCCAGCAATTCTCGCCCGTCCCTAATTGCCCTTGAACTGAGCAGTTGGTTAGGACCATTTCATGGGGCCGTTAAGATTTAGCCACGTTGCTGTGGGTCTGGAGTCATGGACCAGGTAAGGACGGCAAATTTCTTTGCCTAAAAGAGAGAGGTGAACCAGAGAGGTTTTGCAACAATCGACACTAGTTTCATGGTTCACCATCTTTTATTTATATTCCACATTTATAGATTGAATTTAAACTGCACTATTGAATGTCCATGTCCCTAGAATGTCTGGATTACTAGGCCGGGGACAAATCCATTCAGCCACTCCTCTCTTAGTTGCATTGCATTGGACCAATGAAGATTTAGCCTTCACCCTGTGGGACATTCAACAAGTTGCATTTATATAGTGCTTTATTAGTGTAGTGAAATATCCAAGGCTGGAGCATTGCCAAAGTTTGGCCACAGGAGGAGATAATTAGCACAACGGAGCTTGGTCAAAGAGGAAATCTTTAAGAAGTGTCTTAAAGGAGGTGTAGGGGTTTAATGAGGGAATTCCAGAGCTTATGGCCCAAGCAGCATGGCTACCAATGCTGGAGCAACAAAAAATCAGGGCCTGCATGAGAGGATTAATTAGCTCTTTGGACTCTATGGCCTGTTGTTGGTCTTACAAATACACTATTAAACAATTGCTGGTATCAGTGCACCAACATCAGTGATAGCTTTTATTTGACTGCTTTCAGTGTACAGATGGCACCGACAAAGCTGCACTCACAACCCATCCTTTGATGATCAGGCTGTCTTTAATAGTACTCGCTTTCCCTGAGGGAGTTAGGGGCCACCTGTCCAGAATGGAACTGAATCTACATGAAGTGCAGACTGTTAGAGGTGTCAGCATTTTTGGAAGAGCATAAGTGATGGCACTCAGTCACTTCTGCTGCCAGCTCTCAACGTAAAATGGTTGACTAATCTAAGTGCCTCACGGGAACAAAACTGCAGAAATATCTTGAATCCAATGGATATTTCCTTGGCTTTGTGATTGTTTCAGAAGAAGCCAGCAGCCTATACATGCGGTAGCATCTTAACCAAGGTTTCTCTGGGGAAACCTCTTAACTGTAAACTACGTTGTTTTTTATTATGGGTGCGTTGCTGGGCAGTGTCAGTGTTTATTGCTTAATTGCCAAGAGGTTAGTTAAGAATCAATCACATTGTTGTGGGTCTGAAATCACATGTAGCCCAGACCAGGTAAGGATGGCAGTTTCCTTCCCCAGAGACTTTTTCGACAATCAACAATGATTTCATGGTTATCATTACACTCTTAATTCCCAGTTTTACTGATTTCAAATTCCACCATCTGCTGTGATAGGATTCAAACCTGAGTCCCCAATATCTGTGTCTCTGACTTAATAGTTTAGCTTCTAGGCCATTGCCTCCCCATGAAAGGCGATGCCATGCTTAACTCTGTATTTGGCTGTGCTGTCCCTGTACGGGCGTGTTTGATGAGGATAGTATAAAGGATGCTTTCCTCTGTATCTAAGCCTACACGTCGTGGGAGTGTTTGATGGAGTTAGTGTAGAGGGTGCTTTGCTCTGTATCTGAGCCTCTGCTGTATATGTCGTGGGAGTGTTCGATGGAGGTAGTGTAGGGGTGCTTTACTTTCAGTTTAAAAGTGTAGAGGGAGCCTCATTGTGGGATTGTTGCTGTGTTCAAATTGACTGCCACCTGGAGAACGGTAGTGAATGCATTTCAAAAGTACCAACTGTGAAACTTTTTGGGTTGCTTTGACCTGATGAAAATGAGTCTCTAAATTCAAGTTCTTTAGGAAACTTTTATGCACCTGAGTTCTACTTATTAAAACGAACTTATTTAGCAAAGCGAATATTTCGCTCTTGTCATCCTAAAAGGTTTTAGTTGTCAGTGATCACTTTGGGATGTTCTGGCATTGTGAAAGATGCCATACATACCCTTGTGCCCTTCTTCCTTCACCAGTTTTGCATATATTCTTCAGTTTCTAACTCTCATCTCCAACCCCCTCTGTTTCCAGGATTCTTCATCCTTGGCGGAGTCTGTATCTCCTACGGGAGCGGCTCGTACATTGCTAACCTCTTCCTGCTGAGGAGGATGATGATGCTGTCTGTGCCAACAGCTCTGGTGAGTGGGCTGGTGGTGGGGGCGGTGGCCCTGTTCTGGCTGTGCGCTGTCTCCCTTTACATCGGGCGGCTAGAAGTGGAGATCATCCACGACGAGGAATGCGAGGACTGCAAGTCAAAAGAGGGCAAGAACAAATCGGACAAGTAATGAGGGCGGATACAGAAAGGAGGCGATCGGGTGTTGAGAGTTGAATCTTGCATATGTAGAAATCTGTATATACATATTATGGGTGCACAGGATTTAAAGTTCCTATGTTGAAGCAATTATTGACACATCAAGGTTAATTCATTGGCTATAAAGCACTTTGGGACATCAGGCATCATGAAGAGCGCTATATGAATGTAAATTCTTACTTCTATTTAATTACTGAGCTAAAGGAAAAGAATATAAATTTGACGTTTACGCAGTCTGGGTTCCTTTTTTATTTTGTTTTTGGTCAGGTTCAGAGATGTACCAATCTGGGAGGTTCCTACATCAAAGTGGCTGAGGTAGTCTGTTTTATGGAGCAAAGGATCCACTGTAATCACAGGCCATAAGAAAAATAACAAAAGCCCAGACTGAGTTCATTATCCTGATCATCCCCCAGACTTCCTCAACAGCCCTGCTGTAATCTGCATGTTTAATGGGTAAGGATAATTGTTAGGTTTATTGTTATCCTTCCACGTGATTAGATAGCCTTGCAGTAAGTTCTGACTTATGCATGGAGAGCAGTTGTCAGGGCTGGAGAGAGGCTGCAAAAAGCATACCCAGGGTTAGCACCATGAGGTTACTGGAATTAAGCGAAGACCAGCTTGCAATGGGCCAAATGGCTAAAAGTGCTGCATCATTACCTTGTCTTATTCCCAGGCCCTGTCTGTGAGCCTTTTATTGCACATGGTCTTTGGTCTGTGCAGCTCTAATTCGAAGCTTCTGTGTGATAAAGGCAACCTCCTTCCTTGGGTTATTTATTGACACCTCCTTGGCATTGTAAAAAACGAAATCTCAGAGCAAAGCTCTACAGGTTGGCCACTTAACTGTTGATTTCACAAGTGGCTTGTGTTATTCTGCACTTCAACGTGAACAAATGAAATAAAATGCATATTTTAAAATGTTGAAAATGTGTGTTCGTATATAAAGTCGCTGAGGATGTAGCGTCGATAACTTCTCAATATCCAGCAAGATGACAACAGAAGATAGAGGTCATCATATGCCAGATTAAACAGATAGGGTTTGAGGTTAGCTGGAGGTTTCTCTTGCAGACACATGGTTAATTCATTGCGTGTATAGTCATGTATTCTAAAGAATGTACATATAATGTCTGGGGGTACCTTTGTAACATGTATGTACATAATGTGTTAGGCTTGAAGTTAAACATTTTCAGTCTTGTTTTCAAATCCCTTCATATCTCACACCCACTCCACCTAAAACCTCATCCAGCCCCACAATCTACAAGGCATCTGCCATGTTGCAATTTTGGTCTTTTGTGCAGTTTCCCCAATTTTAATTGCTGCACCATTGGCAAATCTAGGAAACTTTTGCTACTGACATTCCTAAACTTTTCCGGCTCTTGTCCCTTCTTACAAGTCACTCTTTAAAACCTTTCCTCTTTGACCAAGCTTTCAGTCACCTCAACCAAATGCCACCTCTTGTGGCTTGGCATCAAATTTTGCTTGATGCCCCGGGGATGTTTTAATGTGTTCTAGGTGCTATGTAGATGAAAGTTGTATGCATATTCTCAGCATTGCTGTGACCAATTATCTGGCTGTAGATCTCATTTTTTGGGATCTTACTGTGCATGGTTTGGTTGGCCAGTTCCTTTACATCGCAGCCATGACTAACCTTTGATACTAGATTTGTTAGCTGTCAAGTGCATTGGGAGTGTTCTGAGCAGTGGGGGAAAGTGAAAGGTACTACAGAAACGCAAGTCATTAGGGTGTCACCGAGCTACTGTGTTTCTGTTCCTTGCTGATTAAATTACTGCTTTCACTTTCTGCTTGAAGTGCTGTGGAAAATGTAACATAACTGATATTAAATGAGGAGTCAGCAGACAGAGGAGTGTTGTTAGTTTGTATTTTTTGTTTTTGAACCTTGATCAAATCAAGTTTTTTTTTGTTTTTTTTCCCCAGTTTAATGCCAGTCTGCCCTCACAGATCAGACTGGCAACATCGAATGTTTAACATTTATACAGTTTACACAGTGGTTGGGGGAGGGGGGCAATGAAGTGCGTCAGAACCCGCACCGTTGACAAGTGCTTTAGAAACAGTTTACGTTTTACAAACAAAGTACAGTGAGAAGCAACAATGAGCCAGTCGGTGTGGATTAAAGAGGCAGGCCAGCTTTCCAGTCTCTCCATCTCGCTCGAGGAAACGTTTTCAGACAGACTTTCCCTTTTTCACTCCCACATCCCTCCCAAAAGACACCATTGCCATGGGCTTATGGTGATGGAAGTAAGTTGGAGGTGCCATTGTCACACTTGTCCTTAAATATGCAATTAGTGTAAATCTACCATAAAATACGACATGTACAGTGCACTCCCAGCTCTGGTTTTGCATGTTCTAGAGACAGGGTGTGACATACATGACTCATACAGGGAGCTTTTCACATTAACATCACTTAAATTTCTGTTAGGTAAGGGCATTAACTAATATAAGGACCAAGGAAAGTACACGGGAGTTAAGATTCAGAGTATCTGGGATCTAATGGAACATCCTCAAGAATTCTGGTGAAGTCACACTAAACTTTCTCTCTGTCTACAGATTTAGCCAGACCTGCTGAGTTTCTCCAACATTCTCTGTTTGCCTCAAGAGGCTGATTGGCTTAAACCTCCTGACAGTCTGGGTTCTGATGGGGATACCGCTCTACGTCCCACCCTCAACAAACTGAACTACCCAGTAATCAGTCCAAGTTCAGATAGTGGGTGACTATGGGTTAACTGAAGAAGGTCAAAACTGGGCACACAATTCCCCCCATATCACCGTAGTCAATTTATATCATGAAGTTGCCCATGGGCAGGAGCAGAGAAAGGCTGTTCACCTTTGGTCCAGCCAAAGTGGAGAAACTGCCCTGCTTCCACCCACCACCCCCCTCCCCCCCCCCCCCCCCCCAAATGAAAAGCCCCCGAATGGGGCTCCTTGTTTGAACCACACACCGTTTGTGTCATTTGATAAGACACTGAGCTATGCCCGTATAACAAGCTATTTTGAGGTGCACCAGAGACTACTTTTATGGTGCTTTCAATGGAAGGACTGCTCAAAGGCTGCATTTCCATTTTCTGCTGTCCCACACAACTCTGCCAATGGAACATCGCTAACTGATGTTTCCCATTTGCTAGTTTGTCCTGTTTCAGTTTTCTAAGTTGGAGTGTTGAAAAGGTAGCTTACCTCCACCACCCATTCCTTTAAGGGACCGAAAAGAGCTTGTGGCACTATTTTGAATAAGAGCAGGGGTGTCACCACTCTCCTGGTGCTTTTAGTCATTTTCTAAATTCACTTATGGAATGTGAGCATCTCTGGCTGGGCCAGCGTTTACTGCCATCCTTGATTGCCCAAAGGACAGCTAAGAGTCAACCAGCTTGCTGTGGGTCTGGAGTCATATAGGCCTGACCAGGTAAAGATGGTAGATTTCCCTCCCTAAATGACAATGGTTTCACGGTCATCATTAGACTCTCTACGCTATCAGGAAAATAGAATATCTGATGATTGCTCTGCAGGATCTGCCATGTTTTCTACATTCTAAAAGTGACTACAATTCCAAAAGTGTCACCAGAAACAATTGGAATGTCTTCAGTTCACAGTAAGAAATGCTCATCCTTCCTCATTTTCTTACTTTGTCAGATTTCAAGATCTTGGGATATACAGAAATGGAACTGGGCTAAATCTTTGCTTTGTGACCGTTCCCCTCAACTCCTAGGGATGCAGTGTTAGATTGCCTGGCGTTACAAGAACGCAGCAAGTAAAATATACATTGTGATCACAACTTGAAACAAAATCACCCGCTTGAAAATGCAACATGAGCCAACACCAATCTTGAAAACCTTCATGAGCTCCACTATATGGAGCTATAGTTAGACAATGTAGCTGGTCCCAAGTGACAAGTCAAAGGTGAAAGATGAAAGTTGGAAAAAAAAACCATTAGATGGCAAGAATAATCGTAGCCTTCAAAACAGAATTGATTTATAAACTGAAGATAGAAAGTTTGCAAATCCACAGAGAAAAGGCAGGTGAGCAGAATTAGAGGAGTTGCTCTCGCAGACAGCAGGTCTAGTCACGATTAGTCAAATGGCATCGTTCTGTGCTTTAACTGTTCTATGTTTGAAAACAAGTTCACTCTCTGTAGCTTTCATGAATGGACATGCACCTGCTCTAGTGAAATAATCTGTAGCTGTTCCACTCAGTCCTCTTTGCCTGTTAACAGTATAAAAAGCCCACTATTTTCCAACCTCTTTCAGTTCTTAAAATAAAGTCACACTGGATTTGAAACGTTAACTCTGTTTCTCTCTCTATAGATGCTAGCAGACCTGCCGTGTTGGTTTGTAGTTCATAAGGCCTAGGGAGTCAGCCTTGTGTGGAGGCATTCCTGGAAGTCACTTCACCTAAATTCCTCCGTCTCACACCATCATCCTCTCGCCGTATCCATTCTTGCAGGGGGAGCTACCCTGTACCCATAAAGTGAACAGACTAAATCCCCAATTTAATGATTCTTGTCTCAGTCTAAAAATATTTCTCAACATCCAACAGTTAAAAATAACAAAATGTTGAGAAAGTCTCTCCCCTGCCCTGGCACAGGAATTTTCCCTTGGCTTCTACTCACAGCAACATCCAAGGATTGTCCAGAAAAGCAGGCTAGGGAAATAGAGGGAGGGGTGACTCTCAGCTCCACAAATGGTGGGCAGGTGGTTGGATCTTGTGATAATAATGGCTTCAGGGGAGGGCCAGGGGGTCTCACAATGCACAGGCGATCCCAGCTAGCCTGGAAGCAATCTTTAGCAACCTAGTGTAGGACCTTATCTGCAAACAAAAACAGAGCACTCCCGATGTGCCAATTCTCCCTGACCTGTGCAACTGCCCACCTCTCTGAGAGAATGCATGTGGGGTGCAGATAGGAGAATCACTTACAAAACACTTGCAGCTGAAACAACAACTTGCATTTATTTAGAACATAGTAAATGAAAGTAGTGGTGTTCCACAAGAAGATTATTGATCAGTTTGACATTGAGTCATATGATGAGGCGACTGAGCAAAACAGGTCGGTTTTAAGTGACATCTTCAAGAAAGTATTGGCAGGTAGGGG